CACTTTAACAGATACTGGAAGCACAACCCCTGTAGCAGCAAGTAAGTCAAGGCTTTGAATTATCTTTGGCATATACTTTACAATATTCCTTTTGCTACCTTTTACACTTTACCCTTTTACTCGCATCTTGTCTGGGCCAATTTCTGAGAATCTTCTAGTGGTGGGGTTTGCATTGCACCACTCTTCTCATAGGTTGTCCTGGAGTAAGTTTTGTATCCTTATGCATTTGGCATTGCCTTGGGCATTCAGGGCAGAATCTGCTCTATCCAGGCAGTGGGCAGGCTCTTTCTAGGTTCAGGAAATCTCTTGATATTGAAAACACAATGAATACATTAACATTACGAATGCTATATCCTGTGCTCTTCTCAGAGGCTAGTGAATTGAAAGTACAGGTGTTCAGATCATGTTGAAGTCTACCACAGAGGAAGCTGGACAACCATCTGTGATGATACCTGGGACAAAAATACTGTGGTTGTATGCAGACAGTTTAGGTGTGGAAAGGCCACTGCAGTCCAGATCAGTGCTTATTTTGGTAAAGGCTTTTAAAGTATTTTCCTAGATGATGTGCAGTGCAAAGGGAATGAACCCTCTCTGAAGCAGTGCTCTCACAGAGGTTGGGGTCCCCATAACTTGTGTCCACCATGAAGATGCTGGTACCATCTGCTCAGGTACTTTCTGGTTCCTGTTTCATTTCATATAAAATGTACTTGTTAGGACTAACATGCAGTCCTTTAAGTGAAAAGCTCAGCTCGAAGGAGAATGCTAAGGGCACCTGTTAGCAAGGGAATTTGTTTCAGTGGCCTGGAAATGCAGGCATGTTACAAGGGTAACCAGTTGAAGGAGAGCAGGATGGTCCATTAGCTTATCAGCTCTTTAATCACTTGAGAATACAGCCACTTCTTCCACATGATTCCATGAATTTGAACCCTTCTGGGTTAATCTCTGTTCTTTCTGCAAAGGTTGGAGGTTAAATTTCCTCTCCCGTTGGAGAATTTAGGAGAAATTCAGACAGTGGCAGTGTTACACTGCAGAGCTTTCCTTGCCATAGGGCTCCGTTTGCTGGGCTTCACAGGCTGATTGGCATCACTGTAGTTACCTTTTCCAGCCCACCTGTCTGCACTGACCACTTCTTCTTTTCGATTTGTAGTTTCCTTATATTCTCTCCTTCTCACTCTTTTTCCTGCATTGAAATTCCACCTAATTTGACTTCTTGTTCCTCAATATCTGATGACATTTATTCAACATATTTTTACTAAAGACTAAGCATTTCACTTAGTTTCCTATTATCTTTTTTATTATTAGGTCTTCGGCAAACCCCAGAGACACATACTATAAGAAGTAAGCCATTTTCAGCCTAATTTTAATGAATATTCTCCAGTTTTACATAACAATTTAAAGGGCAGAAAATTCTTACAGAAAGCAGTTACTGGTTCCCTGTTTCCTGTATCCTGTTCATTATATAAACCAGTCTGCATTCTCACTCAAATAGCCGATTTCTGTAGAAGGAAGTCCAGCTTCTCCTCAGTGAGTTTCTTTACCACCTTTTTTAAAGTAATTCTGGTTATGAATATTCTTCAGATTCTTCTAAGCACATCCACCATGTTCTGCTATGCTGTAGCGACATAATTGCAAACTGGGATTTGCTTTGTTTTTCAAATGAGAACAGGAATAACTTCCTCCATAATGCAGCATCAGTTTGCTCATACTGTCCTCGGATTAACTTCTCTCATGGGCTAAGTATAGACAGTCAAAAAGCCTGGAGCTGAATTAATTGAATCTTTGCAGGTGTTTGTGAGGAGTGAACCTGGGGAGAAACCATCCCCTTTGCCCCGCACTGGACCCCCACCCAGGATCTGCCCCATACAGGGGAAAGGAAAAGGGGAGAAGAAGCCCCCAGTGGGGTGCCTCTTCCCCGCTCTCCCTATGCCCAGAGCTGGTCCCCCTAAGCACATCCCCTCTTCAGTCTAGCTGGCGTGGAGGGAAACCCTCCTCTCTGCTCAGCGCTGGACCTCCAGCTGGGGTCTCCCTGCTGTGGGGCAAGGGGGGAGGGGGAACCCCCAGCAAGGTGTTTCTTCCCCCCCACTGCCCAACACCCAGAGCCAGGAGCTGTGCTGATCACCTAGCCATGCCCTCTCCTTGGCCAGAGGCCAGCTGAGGAGGAAGTGGGGGGATGCCCCCCCAGCTCTGGACCCCCAGCTGGGCTGTTTCCCCCCCCACACTCCCTCCTCAGCTGACTGAGCAGAGGCATGGCCATGTGATCCACCTGGCTCCTGGATGTGGGGAAGCCCGCAGTGGGGGCTTTATTCCCCTGCCTGAGCTGGGAGCCAGCCTGGCAGGCTGGCTGTGCCCCCTGCTCAACCAGCCTGGGTGATCACCTGGCCATGCCCCCTGCTCAGCCACAAGCCAGCTGAAGAGAAAGTGGGAGGAAAACAGCCCCAGCCCAGCTTTGGATCCTCAGCCAGGCTGTGCCCGGCACAGGGAGTGGGAAGCCCATGATGGGAATAGTTTCCCCCCCACACCCATCTCAGCTGGTCCACTGGCTGGGGAGGGGGCATGGCCAGGTGATTGCCCTGGCTCCTGGCTCAGGTGGGGACTGCAGGCTTCCCTGCAGCTGGCAGCTGGGCCGATCACCTGGCGACTTCCTCCACAGCTGGCAAGCCAACTGAGAAGAGAGAGGGGAGGAAAGATGGAAACCTCCTTCCCTTCCCTTGTCCCTCCCACCCATTCCCAACCCCTGCTGCCATCCCAGGAGCAGCAGAGTGAGCACAGCCCTGGGCACCACCACTTCTCTAGAGCTGGCCCAGGGGATCAGAGCATCACAGCTGCCTGGCACCTCCCAGGCACAGCTGCACCCTGGCACCTCATCTCTACCTGGCAGCTGGGCCCTGCTGCCCCTGCCCCGAGCTCCCTGCGGCCATCGCACAAGTCCTCGCCACATCTTCTATACTCGCCCTGCCCACTGCAAGCCCTGCATGGCTGGAACCAGCGCTCGCTGCCCCTCTGGCCTACCAGGCTCAGCCTCTGTAGCTCCCATCCCACTCCACCCACCAGGCTGCAAGGCAGGATAGCAGAGCCGTTAACTTGGAAGGAGGGAGGGGGCTCACATCACAGGCTGCAGCTCCACTTCCCCAGACTGTCCAGTAGCATGGGACTCCCCGGTGAATGCAGACAGCAGCCCAGCAGGTCCTGATGCGTCCAGGAGAGAGGACTCTGCTGCCCTGACTGCGACGTTCCCTGGGGGTGGCCGGTCCAGCGGGGAGTGAATCGGGGGCTTTACTCCCCAACCCCAGCTGGGAACTGGGCCAATTCCCTGGCTGAGGAAGGGGTGAGGTGGGGAAATCCACCCCGATCCTGGCTGCTGGGGTTGGAAAAGTCCCTCGTTGGAGCAGAGAACACAGCCCAGGCTGCAAAGCATGCTGGGGGCTCCCATTTAACTTAAACCAGGAAGGGGTCTGGGACAGAAGTTCCAGAAACTAGTTTGACCCAAATCAGTTAAGTCTGATACTACATTCAACCAGGTTTGTCTTAAACCAGTTTTGGCCATTTTGAAACTGGATTATGTGCACGGAACTTATGTTCTGTTACAGGTTTAAACCAGTTTCTGATCACTTAAACTGTTTATGTGTAATTTATGTCCCTTGATGGGGGGAGAAAGGCACAAGTATGTGGTACCAATGTCAAGTAATGAGCTTCTCCAAACAGTTGAGATTTAATTACTCAACAATTAGAAAATCCCGGTCACAATCTGGATGAAAGCCCAAAATTTGGACAAACCGGCCTTTGCATTGACTTTGTGTCCTTGCTTTGGATACAAAGCCTTTAAACAGTCTATATCATATTGTGACAGTTACTAAACTGGGACTTTTCTTTTATGCCTTTGATAAGTTCCTGGAGAGTCCCCTACATCTGAAAAAGCAGGTATTTACTATTTTATTTTTGTCATAATTATTCATATGTTTAATTGATAAATTAAAGTTTGGACATGAACTGCTGATTCTTAACCATGCTAAACAGAGCTGTCTCTTTTGTGGCCCTTTCTAATGACAAAGGGATCACACCAGTAGTCCTTGCTGAGATATTGCCACTGAACTCTACTGTCATGAGTAAGGGCTACTTAGCATCAGGAGGGTCATGAGAACCAGGCTCTGAGTAACTATGATCAAAGACAGGTGACTGATGAATCAATAGCATATTGTTTCTGATTATTAGGTCAGTGAGATAAACTCATCACTTCTTGTGAATGTGTTTTGATTTTTATTTATGGATACAATATTATTTTTACATTTTCTTGGAAAATCCATTCTGAACTAAATAAAATATAAATCAGCTTTGCCGTTTATATTTATCCCTATTAACCAAAAAGCTGTGTTGCCATAAAATCCCATTTGAAATTCAAGATTTGGCAATTAACTTAGTGTCACTGGGATGGGGAAATCCAGGCAGTTATGGGGGCTGTAAATTAAGATTCAAGACAGGAAGTGGAAACCTCCAGGAGTTATGTCTTCCAGGCCACCAAAGTTTCCTTTTCCACGATGACTTAGTTCATTGTAATAGCAAATCCATAGTATTATTTTAATATTCTTAAGTAAGTCATGATGTTTATTTAAGTGTTTGTTTCATATAGTATTTAAGGTGGTCTTTTTTCTTCTCTATTCCCCAGCTCCTCCTATCACCACACAGGAGTCCATTACTATATGTAAGTAGTAAAGCATTATCCTCTTTACGTGACTAGTTAAAGAGAAGCCTATAATCTTACAGTGCACTGATTGGCTTCCTGTTTCCAGTGCTTTCCATGCCCCAAATCCCAAAGATATAGCAGATATCTTCAGAAGTAAATCCATACTCCTCTACTCAGGCTGGTCTCATCTACGATGCAGAGAATCTGAATAGCTGCTTATGTGGATCCAGTTGTTGAAGTCCAGTTTCAGATGTGATGCATTATTGCACAACTACCTGAAGATACCTACTCCGATACCTCCATCACTTTCCAAGCTTTGTACAGTCTTCATGTTTGCACTAACAGATTCTTGTTAAATTTGTAGTTTGACATATTCCATCTTAGCCATGATGTTATAGAAAATGTTGCTTTTCCAGGGACTCATATATTTAATAAAAAATAGTGTTTTATTTCTGTCTTTCATTATCTTTTTGCATTACCAGCTTTTCCATCCGCCACCCAAGAGCTCATTACAACTGGTAAGTCTTTCTTTGTCTTGCTTTTAAAAAGCTGCTTTTAATACTTGAAACCTATTTACATACCTATGTGGAAGGTAACCTATTTGAAGGGCTTACAGTGGATTTTCTGACTTGCTATCTGCAGTTATGCGTGAACATCTATATGCACATGGAAACAGCAGTTATCTGTAGAAGTAAATTGCTTTTACCATGCTTTCTAGTGCCTCATCTCAGGAAAAAGGTATAAATCACAATATTGAAAATCCACAGCATCTTTCCCACAAGGTCTGAGGCTGGATTGCTGGACCTTTCTTTTTTATTTATTAATGGCCCCCAATGGTCAGATCTTAAGACAGACTGATACTTTGCAAGTAGGCTAAGAGTTTTGAACATATATATATTCTTTTAAATAAAAAGACTTATGTCTAAACCCTCTGTGGTATTATTCTAACATGTTTAATTATATTTTTTCTCCATTGGATAACTTCTGTGTTCCAGTTAGAAAATACCCAAGTCTCCATAGCTTCAAAATATATTACTGGGTGCAATTCTGGTTCTAATTAAATCAATGACAAAGCTCCATTATCCTCAGTATTGAGTCAAGATTTAACCCTTTATTTTAAGGGCTGTCATCACAGCCACTCATGGCTAAGAATTATTGTGCTGGAGGGGTTGGATATCTGTTGGAGAATATTTTAAGGCACTTTGGAGAGATGCATCTCTGTTCCTTGCCTTCTATCATCTATGCTAACTTTGGTTGTTGAACTATAGTTTCTATTTTTCTTGTCTTTTAAATACATTTTGAGGCAAATGGTTAATAAAGCTTAATAAAAAAATATTGTTGTGAGAATGGTCCTTAATTCTAGCCTATTGCTTTATTTTTATATTAACAGCTCTTCTGCCTAATACAGAGCTAGTGCTTGTACTAATGATGTTGATGTTTTTCAAACTTGTATTATAGTAACACCTTTGAATCCTGGTCATGAACCTTTGCCAAGCACCATTGAGCTAAGCGCTGTCTAAATACTGAACAAACCATAGTTCCTGACCTAAAGAGTTTACTGTAAATCTAGCTTGACTATATGGGCCCTTTATAATCAATCACATTAAGGGTATCATACTGTAAGTCATGTCTTCTTATTGTCCAAGTCCAAGCCTGTTAAAATCAATAGGAAACCTACCGTTGACTTTTGTGGGCTTTGGCTTAAACCTTTTGTTAAGTTTTCTGTAAAAATGTAACACTGCCGAGATAGTCATTTTCAAACTGATACGTAATTCCAAGTTTACTTATAAATTAACATAGTATGTTTCATTAGGCGCTTAAAAATAGGCTGGGGTCATTTTTGAAAATCTGGCTCGATGTACTACATACATTTAAAAAGACATCTAGATTATGCCTATGAATTATGTGCACTTATGTGCAAACAACTAATTCAACATAGACACATCTCAGGATTCACAACAGATCTTAGAGCATGACATTACTTATCCATACGAATACCTGTAGAATTCGGTCCATCTCCTACTGAAGCCGATTCTTGCCCCTTTCAATTTTCAGTACTTTAGTTTTTTCTTATATAACTCTTTGGAAAGTGATCATAAATGACAGCTCAGTTCATTCAAACATTCACTATTCATATTTTCAAAATCCTAATTCAGTTGCTTATACTGTATGATAACTGATTACATTTTGTCTCATGAATTATCCTTATTTTTTTCCTTTTGCATTAGGAAAGCTCCCAGAAACTACAGCAGCATCCAATGTATCTGGTAATATTTTCTCATCCTCCATTTTCTAATGCAGTTTGAACTGATGTCTCTTCACCTAAAAGTCATATTTACCCCTCGCAGCTTTCCCTTAGTGGTACAATACTAATCACTTCAAGCATAGCACCTAGCAGGTTGCTGGAACCCAGGAGCTACGATTTAGTTTTGAAGTCTCACATGTCCTAGGGTCCTGATACTCGGAGCATGAAGGCTGGAAGGTGCCCCAAGTATCAGATATCAAAGCTAGGAAGTTCCATCAGAAAAGACTCTTTCCTGTAGGGACACTTCAGAGAAGACTGTCCATCATGGATAGTCCTGGAGTGGGAAAAAAGTCAGAGACCACTTGAACAAGGGAGGAAAGCCATAGAGAAAGGAAAGTTAATTGAAAGCTATCACAGAAGCAGCTATGGAGAGTATCTTAAGACCATGGGGAAGGCAGAGAAGGATGCAGTTTGCCAGTTAAACTGATTCATTTATGTTTTAAGCCATGGCTCAGATGATGCAGAAATGATACAGCTTTTGAAAACTTCATTGCTGAAGCAGCTCTGGTAGAAGGAGCTGTCATTGTCACTGTGTGGAGAGAGGATGAGCCAATCTGCCCTCATGCGGCTTATCACAAAGCTTGAGTCTGCAATTTTAAAGTGGGCTTCCCTTGACTTGGAAAACTGCTTAATAAGATCCCTGTTTTTATGTGCTGCTTCAGAGCATGCAGGAAGGTCAAGGTCAAGCAAGCAAATCAGTGGATTACTGCTATGGCCTAACTCTCAGTTTAGCCTATTAGCACAAGAGTTGTAGAGTGGAGCTAATTTGTGTAGCCTCTTATCACTCAGTCCTATAAAGGAAGACAGGAAGAAGTAAGAGTTGTCAGTGGTGTTAATCTACTACTAAGAACAGGCATGAGTTTGTTTTCTTTCCATCCAGCTTTTATTCCCAGGATAGTGAATGTTTTGTTTGCTTCCTAGTGATGTGCATAGAATAATCAACAGCATACCTACCATATTTATGCTGAAATATATATTTTTAAATAATGTTTACTGATATTTAAATTTCCCCCCTCTGCAGTGACACTTTTATGCCAGCCAACCTACATGCATGCAGTCATTCAAGTAGCTTATATCAGGTCCAAAGGCTACTCTGCATTGTCTCTTCACTTGAATGACCAAAACTGTAAACCAATCCTGAATCCTTACACTGCAGTATTCTACATACGATATGGTACCTGTGGGACAAGAAAAGAGGTAAGAGCATTTGCATTTGAAAATATTATATATCAAAATGGTTTGCTAACATTATTTAAAGATGAACATCTTTCAGAGTATCTTTATGTTCTTTAAAATATTCCCAATGGGGAACTTAAAATGTAGCTACCTTGTTTCATGACAGCCAGCTTTCTGGGAGTGCCAGAACTGTAATTACAACGTGAACTAATTACTTGAGTATTTGGGTAGCTACAATTTGAACTAATTACCAAAGGCTTCTTAACTGGTGTAACAAATTTATAATCTCTCTGTTTTGGGCTTAAACAAGAACCTTTAAAGCATACTAAGTACTGGGCACAGTTGTGTCTAGAAATAAATGTATGAGTAGTAACAACACAAAGGAAAAACTCAAAGGTCCAGTGCCATTCCAGCTGAAATTAGTGATTGCGGTATGGACTTCAAAAAAAGTAAGATCCTGCTTTCTTCACTTAAGTCTTTTGCTTCAAATGATGGACTGTGAGTGGTTTCAGCATTTAGATAGGGTCTTGTCTGCTTATTTTGGAGAGCATATATTGCTTTATACTAAGGAAACTATGGGGTTTTTTTAGTGGTGCCTTAAGTAATTAGGCCCATTTTGGAAATTTTCTATTCAAGAATTCAGCGTGACTTGAGTGGTTTTCTGCACATAGGTGAATGTCATCCTTTATACCTAATACAAAGCTACACACAAAGCATCTTCGTACATACGCAGTACCACACAGATGCTGGAAGAGAACAAGAAAACAAATCAGAATTCTAGGGACAATGGCCACGACAGCTCAGGAAGAAAATTGTGATCATACTGAAACACATACGTAGATTCTGTGTAGATGCCTTACATTGTTTAAGAGGTTACTTAACAACATTAGTTGCTTCCCTGCCAACCCCCACATACTAATACTACACCCAAACCTGTAGAACTTATTCACTCAAAATACCCCTTGGGCTTAATAAAAGTCTTACAAATGTAAGGTCTTTAGGACCGGGAGTCCTACTTCCATCTGTGTTTTCATTAAATACAATAGTGTCTTTACCTGATAGTGAAGAAAATGAAAAATACTTTATAGTCAAAATTCAGAAATTAATTGGAACTACTTTCACTCCACTTAAAGTAAATGAGAAAGATGAAATGTTACGGGTTGAAAGAGATCATTCAGCTCTGTTCTTGCCAGTACAGTTGTTCCCTTGAGTATTTTTTCCAGTGTTTTGCCCAATTTATTTAAAATGTTCCTACCAATGTGTCTTCCACCCCAACCCTCAAGAGGGTAAGTTAATCTCATCACCAAGGGGGGTTTTTTTCTTGATACACACCAGATATTTCCCTTCATTACTTTCATACAAGGTCAATGATCAAGCATAAAAAGTCTAACATTGACATGACATGTTTTGCCTAAACCCATTTTTACTGGTGTTCAGAAAATTCACCACTGCCTCATCTGACTTTCTACTGATTTGTAATACGTTTCAATTCTTTAGGTTGTCATATTTCAGCGAGACACATGAAACATATTTTTTTCTATTTTTTTCAGCTACATAATGGAATTATCAGGTATTCCAACACAGTCACAGCATCCACTTTTGGAAGTGATTTCACCAAGAAGAAGAATAACCTGCTACAACTCACCTGCAAAGTGGACCAGAGAACAAATATCCCTGTTAAACAGCCTGCACCTGAAGTAGCTCATCACAAACAGTTCATTGTAAAATTTTCTTTTTATGCCTCATCATCTGTGTTACACCCAATGAATTCTCCGCCATTCTATGTAAAAAAAAATCAGGATTTAATAGTTCAAGCCACCATCTACAGCTCTGATCCAAACCTGATACTATTTGCTGACACTTGTGTGGCACATCCTAATCTCCATGACTTTTCAACAGTGGAATATGATTTAATCAGCAGAGGGTAAGGAAACGTCCAACTCGGTTTCAAAATAAATACTTTACATTTAGCTGACCTCATCTGAAAAAATGGCACATGCTTGAACCCATAAGCCACCAACCTCAAAGCCTTAGTAGGTTCTACCACTTTGAGATAAAGGGTCATGGCCATTAGCATCAATCAGCCACAAGAGGGTAATAAAGACTCACATTCCCATTACTATGGTTTACGCAGGGGCAGCACCAGCCTCTTCCCGGTGTGGGGGCTGAGGTGGGCTACACAGAAACTTTGGGGTGGGGGGCTGCGCTATACATCTCCTGGCCAAACATACTTCTTAGGCTGGGCCAGGAACACCACGCCTCTGCAGGCTGTGGGCGGCAGCAAGGCAGGCTCAGCTGCGTGGGGCAGGCGGTGGTGGCCCAAGAACGATGCTGGCATTGGTGGCTACGGAGAGTCTAAAGCGAATTTTGGGGTTGCTGTAGCCGCATAAGCCCCTCCACTGATGCCATCCCTAGTTTTATATATGCTTTCATCTCTATATTCTGTTTATGGAAGGAGTAGGAAAGAGAAACCACTCTAAAATCTCTGCAGGAATTTTTCATCTCCCTAACATAAGTAAATTGAGGGAAGAGTGAAAAAAAGATTGGGGGGAGGGGGGGTTCTTAGTTAAAAAAAAATGTAAACTCAAAATGGGAAAATAACATTAGATAACAAAATAGCACACTAGCTCTTTATGTCTTTTTTTTCAATAATTCTTTTCAAACTTATTCTCTTCAAATTCTGTTAAATGTTTTAAAACCCATCATGCTTTTATTATTACAGTACAACTTCATATATTAAGGGGCTTTAAAATGTGAACTTTGAGCTTTATCATCTAAAATATATGAAGGAAAATTTCTATCAATTGATGATGCTACAAAAACGTTTATTTTCTTGTAGGGCAAACACAAATAATATAACTGAATGTCCATACTTAATTTGTGTGATAACATGAATTTAATATATGTTTTCTATTTCTTTTCTTAGGTGTACAAGAGACTCCACCTACTCTAATTCCTACTCATCAGACAGAAGGAGCATGCGGTTCAAATTTAAACCTTTCAGGATGCCAAACAGATATTCTGCACTTTACCTGCATTGCAAAATGGTGGTGTGCAAGAAATATGATTATTCTTCTCAATGCTACCAGGGCTGTCTTCCTAAAAGCAACAGAAATAAGGGTTATGGAGAGGAGAAAGTGATAGTTTCTGGGCCAATTAAGCTGCGCAGAGGGAATCCCTTCCATTAATTAATATGTTGCATAAATGGCTTTTGTTATCAGAACGATCAGTTCATTGTGTATCTGCCAACTAATGAGTCCTAAAACTACATTTTTAATAAACATTAGAATATTTGCTATATGATTGTTTACATCTAAATATTTTCCTAACGGTCTTTGCTGTTCTCTAATTTTAAACCTGTCTAGAATTCCAAATCTGGCTATAACATAATCATCTTGATTATAAAAATAGAATTAGACTGGCTGATTTGATTTTTCTGATCCATATTTTGTCACATTCTTGTGCCTATTCAACTTCTTTTCCTTTTTTTATACATTATACTGTCATCAAAAAGCTTTTAGTTTCATAGTTTCTAGGGTCAGAAGGGACCTGAGCAGATCATCTAGTCCGACCCCCTGCCATGGCAGGAAATAGTACTGGGGTCAAACGACCCCAGCAAGGTGTTCATCTAGCCTCCTCTTAAAGACCCCCAGGGTAGGAGCCTGCACCACCTCTCTTGGAAGTTGGTTCCAGACCCTAGCCGCCCTGACCGTGAAGTAGTGCCTCCTGATGTCTAGGCTGAATCTACCCTCTGCCAGCTTGTGACTGTTGTTCCTGGTCACTCCAGGCAGTGCTCGGGGGAACAGGGACTCTCCCAGTGCCTGCTGATCCCCCCTGACTAGTTTGTAACAGGCCACAAGATCCCCCCTCAGCCTTCTCTTTTGGAGGCTGAA